TGGGGGTGGGGGTGGGCAGGAAAAACTTGCAGAATGGGCCACTGCGGGGTAACTGAACACTCCTGGGGGCGGCCCCTCCTTGCTGGGCTCATGTGGCAGAAGGGAAGGGCCTCGGAGACAGGACTCCCTGGCCTTCCCTGTTGGGGGTTTACAGACAGCCCGCCTATGAGGGGTCCCGTGGTGGGTGGGGGGGTTCCCTTGCAACTGCTGCCCCCCCGCCCCCCCGCCGCGGGAGACTCACTGTTGCCCCGGATGGTCGCGGAGGGCCCGGGTATCTCCCGTTCCCACAGCGGGGTGTGGAGCTGGGCTGCTGGGAGAGGCGGGGGTGGCCTTCTACCTGGGCTCTGCCACCACTCCTGGGTCGGAGCACACGGCTATAGGCCCCGAGAGGGGAGAGGAAGGGGCCAGGGCCCCTGGCTTCTAAAGCCTTCATGGAAAATGTCCCAGGACCTCAGAGTGTCACAGCTGTCCTGCTCAGGCCTGGGGCAGAGCCCACACCCTCCTCAGGCCGGAGTGCACAGGTTCACCTGAGCTCCTACTTGGGCCTCGGGCACCACTCCCTTTAGTCAGGCTGGAGACCCCTGGGGACCTGTCGGTTCTCAGCAGGACAGCCAAGAGCAGGCTTTGGGGAGGGCAGTCGGTGCGGGGCACAGAACTGGCCCAGAGGCATCTAGACGGCACGCACAATTGTCATGGGTTTGGCAAAGGCGCTCCTCCTAGAAATCCAGTTTGTCCTCAGCCCTCTCAGAGCCAATTCACAGACTTTAAGCATGGTCCTTTTGGGGACAAGCACGCAGCCACCGTGGACAAGAATCTGGTCTCTCACACTCTCAACCTCTTCCCCTCACACCCACACCCTCGACGGAGCCAAAACTCATGTGTCGCCCTCTGTCATCCCTCCCCACGGTGGCGCCACCGGGAACGACATGGATGGGAGACGCAGTGGACAGGGAGGGACCTTTGTCCGGGATATCCTCTCCTTGTGGGCTCCCACTAGACAGCGGGGACTCCTGCGGCGGGGGGGGTGGGACAGCGGGAGCACTGTAAGCAGCAGGGCAGCCTGGGGGCCCAGAGGGACAGGAAGGCCCCG